TCTTCTCTTAAGCTTGCATGATGTTACCTAGGATTAGTTTATGATGCTAGATGAATAATTCTATTTGTTTGTTACATTACTTCTCAAGAATATGATATAACTAGCCATCTCTCATGCAATGCAAACTGAGTTAGTTATATAGGAGAAAATGTACGATGGACACAGTCAATTAATATATAAGTGGTGCATCAAATGATACCAACCACTGAATTAATAAACTTAAAATTCGTACATTAATCTGACAAATGTTATTTTTTTGTGCCATCATTTAACACATTAGATCAGAATTATCAGATACTCTATCATTAGGTGGAGCCTCAAATGACCCATCTTAAGTATGTTGGTATATATCTAAGCCGCAGGCCTAGACAGCGTTGGTAAATAGAGTTGCACAAATATTTTGATATAATAAAACAATGCAGCAGAAAATGTGAAATAAATAGCAACAATCACAGATAAAAAAAATCAACACAGAGCACAAGGGAATTTTTATAGTGATTTGGAATAAATCCTACATATATCTATCCTTCCTTCTCTCAAAGGGACTTCCAAACTATGAATTTTTTTTCTTGGATTACAAACGATAATCTAATAGGCTTTACAAGACCCCTTCCTAAATCAAACTACCTAGTCATCTACATCCAAACAATCCTGCCATTAATGTGTAGCCTAGCTCTCAGCTAGTAAAATAATCATTAATTGACACCGATTTGAGTACATCATAAAACCGATCAAATGACCATGAAAAATATTTTGATTACAAATAAAAATATCAATAGAGTACAATGAAAAGATCTTATAGTCCTGATAATCAAACCATTTTTCCATGACTAAAAAGTTCAAACCTAGAGGTATGAAGGTAGAAGCAGTGATCGTATGGTAGCACTCATCAAAGAAAATCAATCCAATGTGAATTATATACTGCAGGCTGATCGTAATGATGAAGGAAGCTTCAATCTTCAAAACCTAGGTTCTCTAAGAAAAATGCCCCAGGGACCCCAAATAGGGGACCCTGGGGTGGGACAGGTGAGGTGTCAGCCTGGGAGGCTGTGATGCACTGTTCATCATAGCCTGGGAGGCTGTGAACAGTACATCATAGCCTCCCAGGCTGACACCTCACCTGTCCCACTACAGGGTCCCCTATTTGGGGTCCCTGTAGCAGGACTCTTTCTCTAAAATTATGTCAGGGACATCTATCTCAAACTTGACTAGAAAGATGGTATAGTAGCTGCAACGAATGGATGAGATTAGATCTCAAAAAGCTGCTAACTTGATCCCTGGTCATCAATGCGTAACTTGCTCGTTGAATGTGTCAAGTGCTCATTGATGGAAAACATGTGTCTATAATTTTTGGATCAGTGGGGTTGAGCTTCAAAACAATGGGCTTCTCCTCTATTTGTCAATGGGCAAGATACTCATCGATGAGTGAATAGTCTTCATAAAAATTTTATTAATGGGAAGTTAAGGAATCGATAACATAGCAGTAGGTTCATTGATGAGTAGTTTTGCTTGTTGACATCCGTTAGCTCGTCGACGAACAAACTGCCCATCGATGGGTTATGCCTGATAAAATGTTGTTTGGAGCTAAATTCGACTCCATTTGAATTGGTTATTGTTTATATCTAATATTTAACTACATAAGTCATCTCACACAAAAGTTAGTCACAGATACACATTTATTAATATTAAAACAAAAAAAAATTGTATAGACAAGGTCCTAACAAAATCTATGTACGTATAAATCGTTTGAATAGTAGGATTATTGCATCATGCGGGTAAAGATAAAACTATCATACACACACACATACACACACATACACATACACATATACATATACATATATATACATATATATATACGTATATGCGGTCAAAAAGTATAGACCAGTCTAGTAGATGGATGATACTCGGTAATAAACCTCTAGAGATATTGCCCGACTATACCATGACAAGCGGGATAGTTGAAGAAATGGAGAGGCCAAACTACGAAGACCGACCTAATGGTGCCTTCTCAACCCGGACCTAAAATTCCCAACAAAGCTGGCTCGCATGACCAGAGCAATTATAATCGACCCACTACCGATTACACGTAACTTGTCTAGCTAACCAAGCAGAGATAGGCATGAGGCTAATCTGTATGTCTAGGCCCTATAAACCATACATATGACAAGACATCACTCATATCACTACAAGAAATCGGGTATTTAACGATCAAAATTAACGAATGGACCAGTTAACCATCATTAATGTGTGTAAAATAACGACGATTTTAAAGCCCTTCATCGAGTTATTACAATTATTAGAGAAATCATGTCAGATGGGATAACAGTTTTCTAATCCCTTTGTTGATTTAATTCTAATACCGTCGTTATTGGGTCTCTTAAAAGAAGAAGGAGTACTTTGCCTTCATTAATAGGTCCCCTCACTACAACACCTGAAATCTACCATAGCGGTCGAAAAACGCTATGGTATTATATCATAGCGTTTTAATCCACTACAACACCTGAAATCTACCATAGCGGTCGAAAAACGCTATGGTATTATATCATAGCGTTTTAATCAACGCTGTGTCAGAACCCGCTATAGTAGGTCAAACGCTATGGTATTATATCATAGCGTTTTAATCAACGCTGTGTCAGAACCCGCTATAGTAGGTCTGTGACTTTACATAGCGTTTTTCCAAACGCTATCAAAAAGCTTCCAACCATAGCGTTTTTATGTAGCTATAAAAGAGTATTCAATAGCGTTTCTATATTTCTATGACAAATATCTTTCATAGCGGTTGAAAAACGCTATTAGTTAGTTTCCAACCATAGCGTTTTTATGTAGCTATAAAAGAGTATTCAATAGCGTTTCTATATTGCTATGACAAATATCTTTCATAGCGGTTGAAAAATGCTATTAGTTAGTTTTCATTCATAGCATTTCAACGCTGCTATTGTCTTACATTTGATAGCGTTTGAGTTACTATAATGGCGTTTCAACGAATGCTGTCTTTCTTCTTTTAATAGCATTTCAGCAATTGTTTCCACTTCTTATAGCATTTCAGTTGTGCCTATAAACCTTTGAGGTTGAACTAGAAATAGGTTCCAAATATGACAACCATAAAAGCAAATATTTCATTTAAAGGTTCAAACTGATACATAACAAAGTTGTAGCATACAAGAAGAGTCAACACAAATGTGCCAAAAAACAAATACTAGTCTTTGGATAATCCAACATGGAGTATAAGAAATTAACCATAGTACACAGAACAACAAAAACTAATTAACTTTGTTGTATTACATATGACTTGGGAGACTCATCATCTTCAGCAATTGAGTACTTGTACTGCTGCAAAAACAAAAATTAACAACACCAAAATTACAACTATACAAACATGATAAAGTAAAAACACATGATTGCAAGATGTATAAATTACCAGCTTTTCAAAGCATAACAACTTTGTCTGACGGCCAAGCTAATGTCGTACCAACGACATCTTCAATGCATTCTAACTCAGATGTAAGCCTCCAAAGAGATGCACTAGGGATCCTAGGGATATCAACCCAAACACGCATAGCATTAGGACCTAAAGGAACGAAGTGAACAACCTGGTTCGGTTCACTTGAAGACCAATGTCCTTCAGCAACTATCTTTCCCGAGCCAGCAATATCTAACAAGTTGCACTTTTTCTTTGAGTTGTTCACACTCTAGCAACAATGCAAAAACAGTGATATCAATTATAGAAAAGAAACTAGTACAATCAAATATCAAAATAATGATAGTATCAGAAAAAAAGGTTACCGAAGGAGATGATATGTTTGTAGATTCCACATTGTTAATTGAGATATTTTCCAATACAACCTTGTCAGCAGGCCACGCTACTTTAGTGCCGATAGCATCTTCAATAGATGTCATGTCAGGTGTGGGTCTCCATAAAAAAGCTTCAGGACTTGTCGGGACATAAATGAAAACAAATAAAAATGTATAAGCATACTATAAGCATGAAAGATGCGGAAGCTTCATGAAAGAACATTACAAATCTTACAATTTGTTCCCAACCTTACTCAAGTTTACCTAGGTCAACTCCAAATTCCTATCGAAGATAACTATAAGCATGAAGGACCATACCATAAAAATGTATAACTGTATATGAAATATTGTTTGGAACTAATACGTTTTTGGTGAATTTTCTTTCGACATTACAGGTGCTAAATCTGGAGGCTCTAGACAAAACCAGGCATTGGAAACTCGTTGGTTGTAGTGATACACTGGCGAGGGGTTACTTGCAGGTTTTGATTGGCTTGTTCAAGACATTGCTTCTCGGATTTATGTACTTGACTGAATATTTTTGACTTGTAAAACGCTGACTACATAAATTCGTGTTTAATGAACATTGTCCTTAGATTTTTGATGATTTTGTTTATATGGGAATGTAACATCTGTTTACTGTTATTCATGTTTAATGTAACATCTGTTTTTGTTTGTATGGGAATGTAACATCTGTTTAATGTCCGACAATATGATTAATATCGTAGGGAAGCAAACTGCAGATATTTTCCAGATATTTTTTTCACAGGAAAAAATAAAAAAGAAGATAACAAAATATGATGTTAACTAATTTATGAAATAATGGCTTGGATGGCAAATACAGTCCATTAATTGAAAGTTAAATAGATGTACCTGGGCTATGTATGGGTAGTCCTCTTCAGTGTCAATTCCACCATTGTTGAGGAGTCTTTTCCAGCTAGATAGTCAACCAAAGGTAACTATAACCCATGTTTGTTACTGGAATTACACCATCCTAAATGATTTGCGTCAAAATTATATATTGGGCGTGAGAAATAGTTAAAAATGAACACCTGTTCTTAAAACTCTTGTACCTTTGGGTAGATGAATCAAAAGCTCAAGTTTTGTTAGCTTGTGCTTAAGGGTTCAGATTGCCAACATCAAAGGAGAATATGTCTGCAGGACTGAAGAATGAGCGATAAGAAGAATTCTATAATATGATTGCAAAAACTAATAGGAATTTTTTTTTTTGTATTTTCCAGAATATGATTACAAAAACCAGAACAGGACCGAGTGATAATAAAAGATCATATGGTATAACGCCAGGATGCCGAACTTGAGAGTAATCTGTCTTATCAAAATACACAGCTAAACGGTTTTCAGTTCTTCCTTTCGAGTTGAGGTGCAGCTGCTCGAGCTCAACGTTTTATTTAAGCTTCAACAAGAAACCAGATTCCTTCACTATCATCATAAATAGATGAGCAAACTCGAAATTCATGCAAGAACACCTTTTATATGTTTCCTGTCTGGGTAGAATACCTGGAGCAGAGTGACAAAGATGGAAGAACTATCGATCATAACCATTTACATTGAATTAAAAAAAAACGAAACGGACTACCTCTTCGCCTGATGCATTTGCATAGACATTTGTACATAACTCAGAAGAATCTGGCATAGGGCTTTCCTGAAAGAAACAAAACGTATAGAAAATGATATATTGAGCTCTATCCAGTAACAAAGAGCTGAATATGCACAAGTTTACCTTCGCCTTAGCAATCGCATCACTCACTTCCTTCTTAACTTGTTTCTCGATGTCCTGATCAAAGATTCACATCATAACAGCACACAACAGAACAAACTACATTTCAAGTACTGGTTCCAGCAGAAATTAATACCTTCAGCTCTGACACAGTTGCAATATCATGGGCTAGAATCAGTTTCCTGATTCTTTCAACAGGGTCGCGCTCCTACAAAATATTTAACAGGCAAAAGAGTCTGCTGAAAATCTCAAACGAATATAGACAAAGTGAAAGAACTGTCGACTGCCGTAGACTTCAGGTAATTTCAGAGTTTCTTACCTGCCTCACACCGGAGATCTCATCACGGGTGCGATAAGTGCTGCCAGGGTCAGACATGGAGTGTCCGTGATACCTGTAAGTGTCCATTTCAAGAATCTGCAGGTCAACACCCAAGAACCAGATTATTATATCTCAACACAGTTTGTAACTCTCAATTCTCACAATAATCTAGAGTGTTTTGATGCAATAGAGAGGTCAAGATGGTGTCGGAGCAATTCAGGTTTAAATTTTTACATTTTAGGAAAGATTTAAAAATATTTATCAACATTTTGTAGTTTCCATGTTTCATCCATGAAATATGAGACAGAAGTAGGAAACTACAGTTCTAAACCTATGGGATCCATATACCATGTAGGGATTACCCTATTGTTTAATTCTTTTTCGATGTTTCTTTTAACTTTTATGACATGAAACCAATATAGCAGGGTTGAAGTTTTCCATTCATATATTGTATAAAACTCGTGTTAACTTACTTTAAAAAAAAACAGACAGAAAAGCATGAAGACTTTACAGCGAAATTAAAACTAAAAGTAGTAATTCTAGTAATGGTAGCCCTTTCATTGTTGTATACACGGTGAATGTATTCTAAGGAGATCCAGGAGATGGTCTATGTCATATGATAGTCAATATATATATATTGGTCCTTACTACATATGCTATGTATTTGAAAACTAGCCTAGGAAGTGAAAATCAAGATAACAACATGAAGTCGAAGATTGTTCAAACAAGATATATAATAGTTGCATAGGTGTGTGCATAAATGAAACATTTTATCACCGCTACTGAAATTGAAAGCTTTTGTTTTAACGAGAGGGAAGTGATTTGATATTTGAAGAACCCATTCTCATTATCATACCAAGTTATACCATTCGAATGAAACATATAATAAACTCAAATCATAAACCCAGCCTAAAATTGAAAACCCTAAACAAACTAATACGCAATTATCATTCAAATACCTAACAGAAAAACAAAATTAAACTCTTACCCAGTTATCAAATTAAACTCAACAGGAATTTCAAAAGAAATTTCAAAATTAAAAACTTACCCAGTTATCAAATTGCTCCCTGAGCTCCCAGTGCTCTGCATCACAAATAAACCACATATTCATCACAACTAATCTCACAAAATAACTACCCAAAAAAAATCAAAAATCAAAAGAAAATGGTTGCAGACATCGGTTCTCTTAAACCTTTCAGATTCTCAAATTAATCCCTCGAATCTTCAAAGAAGAGGGGTTTCGGCGCTAGACGAGAGGGCGCTGGATGAGAGACGAGGAGGGGCTCCAACGGTGGACGCGAGACGAGGAGGGGCTCCGGCGGTGGACGAGAGACGAACAAGGGCTCCATCTCTGGTGATCAAAGAAGATGGGGGTTCGGGTTTGGAGGCGGCAACGGTGGCGACATGCTACGACACCGGGTTTGGAGGCGGCAACGGTGGCGAGTTGCTGCAACAGCGAGTCGGAGGCGGCACCAGCGACGACTCGGAGGCGGCACGGTGACGACTCGGAGGCGGAAGCGACGAGTCGAAGGGTTGTTAGGGCTTGGGTGAAAGAAAGGGAACGGGAAGTTGTGGGTATTTGTGCGGGTTTTAGAAAAATAAAAGGGAATGGGTTGTTAGAGCGCGGTTTTAATTTTCAGCATCCCGCTTAAGATTTCAACGTGCCAGAAGGAAAAAAATGTGATCAATTACCTATAGCGTTTAAATTTTTTCAAACACTATTAAAAAATAAGGCATATACAATCTATAGCACTTACAACGTAAACGCTATAATTCAACGCTATAAAAAAACAGTTTTGTTGTAGTGCCTAATCATAATAGGAGTATTTAATCAGAATAGTAAAAAGAAACCAAACCCAAACCCGAACCTCTCTCCGCGATTCGTATCTCCGAGCTTTGATTCCTCTCTCGCCACCGCCGTCGCTCTCTTCTTCCGACACTCTCCCTCCTCAATCTCCAGAACTAGGGTTAGGGCGAGGGTTAGATCGATGGCGAGCGAGGCGGTAGTGCCAGCGGTCATCGTCGGCGGCGGGAGAGTTGGCTGAGTGCTACAGAGCATGGGAAACGGACGCGTTGTGCTCGTGGGGAGGGGGCAGCCGGTTCCCTCCGATTTCGAGGGTTAGGGCGAGGGTTTGAACTCAGAATGATGATCTTGAGGCAGTGCTTGAGTCCACTCCTGCTTCTTGATGGAACGGTAATTGCCCTAGTTTATTTTGTTTTGTTTTGTTTTGCTTAAAAGCTTAGATTTTTGTTTGTCTTGAGGTAAAAAGATTTGATTTTGTTGAGTTTTTTGGTAGAAATTGTGCTGTTCTGGTGTTAATTTTAGCAATGCCCTAGCCCGTGTTCTAGCCTCTTCAAGAAAAATGTAGCCTTGCTTTTATTACTGACCTCCAGTGTATTAAATGTTTGTATATATAGCCTTCATGCTATTTGAACGAGGATTGTAATTTCAATTAAACCTATCATTTATAATATTATAAATAACATCCAAGAGAGAGAACTAAGTATCTTCTCTAATTATTTCTTAAAATAAACTTTGTATCAGGCTTCACTGCTTTCTTTCCCCATTTGCATGCTAAGACTCACATTAGTTATCAGATTTGTGATCTATCTGGTCAAGACATATGATGCATTGTTGTCCATGATCTATATGATAAAGACATGACATGTTATTATGCCTTTCTGAGTGATATATGTACACTTGTTGCATATCTAAGCAGTAATGGCAAACTTCACTCAATATAAAATGTTGGCATAGTTATTTACTACTGATGTTTTCACCATTTTCCTTTTTTGGTTTTAGGCTGCCATGAGAACCATGGATGGTATCATTGATACAGTGTTGGTTGTCTTTATTTTATTAAACTTTCTATAGAAATTGTCTTTTATTTGAAATGTAGGCTAACCTTACCCATTACGTGTTGATTTTTCAAATGAGGAAGTACATTATTCTCCCTTTTAATGATGAATTATTAATGACTAATGAAGTTTATAAACTGAGTGCCGTCTTCTAAGATGTATTATCAAAGTGATATTTTCAAGATATCCTCTGTTAGAAGCAAACACAGATCCTTTAACTCCATGGTACTTGAGCTTTTCAAGATATTCCTCATATATGGATTTTCCCCCGTCGTTATCAGTGCTCTCATTGTTATGAAAGATGATTTTAGTGAAAGCTCTCTAAGGCTATTCTTGTATTGAATTCAGCTACTTTTATTGCTGGGCTGTCAAATCAGCATTACTACCGTGCAGTTGCCATAGGAGATGATGATGTTGTTTCAGTATACAGGTGAGTTCAACATTTCTTTCTGTGGCCACTGATAACGTATATAGGTTTGAAAGAGCTAATTTCCGTATATACAGAAATTGTTATAAAAACACACTCGGGTTAATGTATGTTGTCAGTAGACAGGAGCAGATCCTTGGTTGGAACTATTCTGTCAAAGGTTTTGCCTGCAACATTTTCAACCCTGACATTATTTTCTAAAATGATTTGGCGGAGTGAGCAGCCATCCACTAGAAAATCACATATCACATCTCAGCCATTTGCCAAAGAGTGAGCAGCCATCCACTAGAAAATCACATATCACATCTCAGCCATTTGCCAAAGGTCTTTTATGTAGCGATATTCCTGTTGTTTGGCTCAGAAACTGTGGCAAGCAGGTCTATTTAGGTGAGGATTTGACGCATTAAGTGAGGATTGAAGCACTTGTATTTGCTCTGATTCGTTCAGTTTAATTTATGTTTGTGTTTTTCAGGAGGATTTGACACTACTCATGCTGCTGCAAGGGTTTTTTTTATTTGATTAGGGCTCCAGATTGATCCTTTTTCATGTAGCTATATTATATTCGCTGGAAAGTCATGAATTTGTTCTTTTTATTTATGTTCAGGGCATATGATCATGCTGCAATAAAGTTTCAAGGAGTTGATGCTGATAGCAACTTCAATCTAAGTGCTAGGTTGTTTGCTGTTTGAATGGGAGGGAACTTGCTTGTTGGGTATATTGATTATGGTTGAATTTGTGTCAGATGAAGAACTTGACCAAGGAGGAATTTGTTCACATACTTCGTCGACAGAGCACTGGGTTTTCAATAGGAAGCTCAAAATACCGAGGGGTTACTCTTCATAAATGTGGGCGATGGGAGGTTCGGATGGGCCAATTCCTTGGCAATAACTATGAATCTCTCTCCTTTACTTTTTTCTTGGGAATTTGTAGAATCGATTCAATATCTTACTTTTTTATCGTACTGTCTGTATTGTGTGTGAATCACTCGAGAGTAATGGTGAGTTATGTAGAGTGGACTCATGGGAATGGTGAGTGAGGCTAAAAGAGAAGGTTTTGGAAAGCCCAAGTTTACCGATGAGAACCTGATGCTTGCATGCAGGTACATATACCTTGGGTTATTCGACAACGAAATAGAAGCTGCAAGGTTCTACAAGAGATATGGATTTGTTTAGTTGTTGCAGTGAATTTCTTTAAAGTTCAGTTCTTATGGGTCTCGGAGCATGCTAGTTGGTCAAGATGCTTTTATTTAAGATTATTCAAGCTGCTTTGACTGCTGTTGGAGCCCCAGACAACCTGGTTCATGTGATAACATGGTGTGTGTTATGGCATTCTGATTTTCGTTCTATTCACTGCATTTTAGTAACTTTAATTGGTTGAGGATCATTACATTTTCTTTTACTATTTTCATTGGCAGGTTTACAGAAACAAGACAAGCTCTTGTTTCGTCAGTTGACAAAATCATTTTTGTTGGATCACCTGGTGTGGGGAAAATGGTACATGTTACATGTTGACTGCTATTTTTCTCAGTGCCACATTTTATGCTTTGGAAGGTCTTTATGTAGTAAAGCTAACAAATGAGCATGCATGTGTTCAGGTTACTGAGATGTTAGATGCTGTTATGTGCTTATTTTAATCATTTGATGCTTTGCAGAACTAGTGTGGTGATTCAACTTTAATTTTCTCAGTTAGGGCAGATAATTTGTTCTCTTTAGTGAAGATTGGTAATAAGCAAACCCTTCACTTTCAGACATTGAGATAGTTGAGAAAATCTGGGGGAAACAATCTTATGGTCACATCATTGTATGTGGTGGTGGGACTACTTTGAAAGATTTGAGAGGACCGCTCCCTAATCGATCTGATCTGGAAGCATGGGTTATAGAAGAAAAGAAAAAGAACCAGATGGTTCAACAATGCTTAGATGAGCAGGAGCAACAACAACAAATGATGTCTGAGTTGGAGTCACAAGTGAAAGCTATGCAAGAACTTTTTTTAGGCAATCACCTTCATCGACTCCTTAAACTCGAGAATATGTGCATGACTAGGTAATTATTTTTTATAAAATCTCTTATATACTTTTATGATTGACTACTTGCACTAAAAAATATGAATTTTACTTAATAAGATAATATTTGCTTAATTGATATTTCTTAATTATGTGATTTTTTTTAAATTTTTTAGGCTATCCACGCAAGATTAGGAGAGGTGGGGTAGCTCGAGTCTTCTTTTGACGATGATTAGAGATGAAAGAATGTGTCTTCCCTAAACTTTTATTTTAATTTGTTATAAATAGTTTCATGTATTTTTCTTTGGAACAATTAGGATATTAACTCTTGTTATTAGTATTGAATATTTAAGGATGGTGAAATTTTATTTATTGATGTTATTAATGAATGGAATTTTTATTTTCCCTTTTATTCATTATTGGGTATTTTTAATATATTTGTGTTGTGAATCTTAGTGTCAGGTTGAGAATAATATGATAGTTGCCTATGAATGGCAAAATTATTATTAATGTATATTAGAAATTTGTAGTATACAATGACGGTTTTATAAACCGTATTTTGTTCATCAACGAAGGGAAAGCACTATCGTTAATTGGTTACTAATTACCCATTATGAGGACTTTTATGACGGTATCCAACCATCATTAATTAATCTTCAACGACGGGAAAATATCATCGTAACTAATGGTAACGACGAGAAAATATCCCCATTACTAATGGTAACAACGGGAAAATATCCTGTCACTGATGGTAACGACGGGAAAATATTCCCGTCACTGATAGTAACGACGGTGATAATTACCGTCATAAATATTAACGACGGTAATATGTTCATTCGTTACAGACTCTATAATGACGGGTAGTATATCCCTTCGTGACCCTTTAGTGAAGAGGGCTTCAACAACGAGCGACGAAGGGATTTTCCCCCGTCGTTAGCATATAATAACGAAGGTTTTCAGCTCTTTAACAAAGGAAAATCCCTTCGTTAAAGATATAATTTCTTGTAGTGTATGATTTGACCTCTCCCCTAATTGTATAATTGCAAGCAGCATCCACCTAATGCATTGACTTTGGTAAATTGGTGACACATGTAAACCAAGGCACATGGCCCCGAGGCACACACTGACTAAAATCATTATATTATTCAAAGCGCTCATACTGCGTTGGGTGGTCACAAAATAGTACGATGATAGGACAAAAGCAACAATGATGAACCAGATCTGGTAGGTCACCCACAATGCATTTAATAGTGACATATATTGGTAGGGTTGACATGTAGGCACATGCCTAATTGCGTACAATCAAAACTCCTTGTGCAGTGCAGTGTTAATATCATAAATATGAAACTACACTGAAAAAAGGGGAAGTGGGATAAATGAAGAGAGAGAAAAGGGTATAGAGACATGCAGACCATAATATAAGAAAGAGAGAATACCCTTAGTCTCTGACCATCCAAAGCTCAAATCACACAAGGTGGGAGTCTACATTGTAATATCTGTTCATCTTCAGTCACATAGGGATTAATCTTTAATCATCTCTGTCCCTCTTTCTGCCTATTAATCTTGAGGAACCCTGAATGACAAATCCATCCTTTATCTCTAAGAATCTTTGTAGTGGCCTAGTCTGATTTTGCTAAACCAACTCAAAAGACAATGCTATTCACTCATACGATCCATTGAGCTGACGCTTAGTCTCTACCGGCACAGCTGCCCAAAATCTCTAGTATAACTAAAAAGCATTGCATCATTATTTATTTATTATTTTCCTAGAGAGATCAACATAATAGAACATGTATTTCATTGTCTTAATCTTTTGTGAATGTTTTTGACCTAAAATAAATGATGACCCCATAGGGGAGTGACTTATCTAACAAGAAAGTTATATCGTAGTATGACAATATAGCACCAAGAATGATGGCCAAAACCATCACGGTTAAGGTCAACTACACCGCACATAAGGTGTATTTAAGAAGTATCGAAGTAAGCTCTAAGCGACTATGGAACTCTTCTATGTTGCTAATAAAATACCGACACCGAGCTATGGTTGAGGGCCCCACTGACACCCAGATAATCAAGTCTCCGTCAATGGCTAAGTGTACCTCTCCTGAAGGTCAGAGAATTCAACCATCGAGCATGAAAAAACTACACATTGCCCAGACAAGCATTCAAAACCAAAGTTGATGTCCACTCACTAGTAGAAAAATGAACAAACTAGACGGAACAAACTAGACGGAAATTTTTTCCGTCTAATTTGAGGCAAACTAGACGGAAAAAATTCCGTCTAGTTTGTTCCGTCTAGTTTGAATCAATCTAGACGGAAATTTCCGTCTAGATTGACAAACTAGACGGTTTTTTTTATTTTTTAAATAATAATCAACCTAGACGGAATTTCCGTCTAGGTTACATCAACCTAGACGGTAATTCCGTCTAGGTTGCCTAAAAAAATTTACGGATCCCCCTCCTTTTTTTTCACTTCCCCGCCTATTTTTTCATTCCCCCGCTTTTAATTTCCCTCTCCATCAAAAAACCCACAAACTGGCCAAATCCCGAAATCTCTCTCTCTCTTACCCCATAAACCCTCTTTCTCTCAATGCCGATCTCATAAAAATCCAAACCCTAACCCTAAAATTCCATGGCGTCCTGTTTGATTTCCTGCAAATACCCAATCTCTAAACCCTCACTCCTCCGCCCAACTCCCTTCGTCGCCGCCCCCCTTCGCCTTCGCACTTCTCAAAGATCTGCGGCCGTTGGGGTTAGGGTTAGGGTTTCGGCTCCGGCGATCAGAGCGAGCGTCGACGTTCCCGCTGGACTCAGGCCTGGGCGAGTTGTGGGGACCGATAAGCTGCCTTCGGATGTGAGGAATCGAGCGATGGAGGCCGTTGATTCGTACGGAGGCAGGGTTACGATTGGGGATGTGGCGAGTAGAGCTGGGCTTAAATTGAATGAGGCTGAGAGAGCTCTTCAGGCTCTCGCTGCTGACACTGGTGGATTCTTAGAGGTATTTTAATGCGTTTCTTTGTTATTTCGATCATTTTGTTTGATGGGAGTTTAGGTGGTTTATAGTGGTTAAGTTAAATACTGGACAAAATGAGAGAGAGAGTCAGTTGAGATGATTTATTCATGTACAATGAAGACCATTAGCTGCACCAGTTAGAAGAAGCGATAAGATTATAGTTGATTGCGGAAAAGAGACTGGTGGTAGACCTAAAACAAATTTGTTGGAAGCAATTAAGAAGGGCAGGATAGTATTTAACTTAACGGAGGATTGGGGGATGATACATGATAGAACTGAATGGAAATTGTGATTCATGTAGCTAACTCAAAAATGTTGAGGGAACAGAACTCCGTTGGTGTTGCTTTGTTGCCATAGAATAAAAGTTTTTGTGCATGATGCGTATAACGTCAAATTGAACAGATAGTTAATCTCATATCTGCAGGAAACAAGAAATGATGGCTTTATTTTTGCCCAAGCTTTTCCTATTTTATAACTTCTGCCCAATATTTCAATGACTTCTCATGTTCAGTTCAGATGTTTGCATTAAATTCGTAAACTGTGCTACATTTCCTTGACATATGCAACAACCTGCACGATAAAGTTGTCTGTCTTATATCTCTTACCGCCATGAGAATATGAATCCACCAAATATTGTAATTTATAATTTTGGAGAATGTTCATGATTCTTCGTGGCATCAATGCATAAGCATTTCTTTGGTTTACCAGCAGTGCGATATACTCTTTTTGTTTGAGAATTTTTATCTTAGAAAAAGGATCAAGCCAACCTTCCGATATTGTCACTGCCTGGACAAGCCATATACTAATGTTTCATAGTGTATGTTTGCAATCTTTATTCCACCAGTCTGTCATATTTTTCAGTCAACACTGTAAACCTTAGTTTTCTGTTACTTTCTCTTTGGGAATTAACACCAATACAAAGGACCAAAAAAAAAAGGAAGTAGTTACATAACTTGCGTTATCTGAAAAGAGTGCCGCATGTTCTCTTTATTTGCTTCTTACAAGGTACAAACTTTATGAAAAGAACACAATTGTTGCGTGACTTGGTAATAAATTTGTTAAACTTTAGACCTCTATTTGTTTAATCATGTGATATGATAACAAAGTCCTTGTATGGCTTAGCGGTAAGGTGATTGTTCTTCATATTTACTTGTCTTCATAAGGCTATCTATCTAGAGATGATATTGAATAGGTTTCAAGATGAAGGCGATGTTCTTTATGTTTCCCAAGGATTACAGGTCAAAGTTGGCTGGGGAAATCTTTTAGAATGAAAGTAGAACCTCTACTCGACAAATTGAAGGTACTCAGGGCGTCTCATTCTTCTTTCGTGTAGCATTGTCGTTGAATGTTACTGTTATATAATGTATAACTTAGACCAGTATTGCAAAAGCTTACCTTTTCAATTTTGTAGGGAGGGGCTGAGTACTTAATCAGGGTCTCCTTTGGGACACCACTTATTGCTTCAAAATAGTTATTGTTTACACAACAAATCATCGCCGCTCGTCTCAAGTAGAAATAATATGTGTGCATCTTAATGCTCTGTTCCTTGTCGCAGCATTTTATGTTTAATTTGTTATGCAATGGTTTACTGTTTAGTTTGTGGATATATCTGATTCTTTCATTATGCAGGTCTTAGCCTTTCCTTGTCTTAACTTATTGTAGTTATGTATGGTGTACCATTTAATTTGTGTACATATCTAATTGCGCCACCTCATGGTTTAACGAAAATGGACCTTTTTCAAGAGGAAAATCTTATTGGAACAGTCGTTTATCCTTCAGTAACCAATATTTTGATTTCCCTATTAGTTCTTCTGCAAAGTTAATGCTTTCTATGTGTATTTCATGGCATGGACTAATTGATGTTGAATTTTGTATAATGTAGGATCAAGGAGGAAGAAACATGATGCTTCAACAATTTGGAGGAGTAAATGCAATTGGATTCTATAAATTATGCAAAGTTCATTAAGTTATGTAAACAATTGTATTCTTTATAATCAATCTATGTAAAACATTTATGCACCTTTCTAGTATTTTGGTGAATGTATTATTTGAATATAATTATATTTGATATTGAAATATAATTAGATTGATTGTGTTGGATATGAACATGATTTGGTGTTGTGCTATATTGTGTACATGTGATATTATATAGCGTGTAATGTAGATTTTGCAAAAAAAAAAAAAAAAATTTACTGTAGCAGAGCAACCTAGACGGAATTCCGTCTAGGTTGCTACTGTAGCAATCCGTCTACATTGCTAATCTAGACGGAATTCCGTCTAGGTTGCTACGTGGCAACCTAGACG